TTCTATTTCTTGTTTCATTCTATTTTCACATCTTTTTTCAGTAAATGAATTGACTGGAATTATATCTTCTTTTGAAAATCTTATTTCTTTTACATTTAAAAATTGAGAAGTTGTAGTACTTCTTTTTATTGGTTTATCAAAATAAATATCTCCATATTTACTTAGAATTAATAGGAATATAGATTGTTGATATACTTGATAATTCTTATTTTATATTTTTGACTCTTTCTATGTGTATTTTGAATATTCAAAAATCTAAGAGGTTTCTTGTCCATTAATTGAGTGTCCATTTGATATATAGTTTGTCTATCACTGTTTCAATGAGAGAAAGAAAGAATAAACTTAATTATTCTACATCCATTTGAATTTTCAAATATCATTTTTTTTTTATTTAAAACTTTCATTTAATAATTTTATTCTTTTTTCATTTTAGATTTTTCCCTAATACATTCTTGATTTTTCTTATTAAAGACTTTCTATGTTAGAAATCTCTTTTTATTTTCTTATGATAATCTCTTCTATTTTAATTATATTTTTTCAATAGAATTTTCAAAAGAAATATTCATGTATTTTAAATTTTCTTTGTAATTCGTTTTTGATTGATATTTTCTATTGATTGAATTTTTAATGTTTTTATTTTTTTTTTAAAGAATAATTCATTATATCTGCATATATTTGTTCCTTTTCTTATGTTAATACAACTAAAACTTTTCTGTGTAAAAAATATTTTTCTAATTATTAATTATTTTTATTTTTTAAAGAAGGGAGATACTCTTTTAATTATATCAAGATGTTAATAATTTCTCTTTATTTATTTTGTTAATACCAAATTCACTCTTACAACATTTATTATCTCTAACATCTGTATAAATCAGATATACAAAAATTTTAGTTATTTAGTTTGATCAACCATAATTGAATTAATTCTAAGTCTTATTTTTTGTTCTTTATTTGAATTAACATATTAACTTTATATTATTTCATTCATTAGTAAAAAGAGTTATTCATTATTTGGATATAGTTTTATTCTAGTAAAGATTTTCTTTGTTTCATTCCTATCATAAGTGTGTTTATTTAATCAAAATCTTTCAATTTATCATAGAGGATTTATTCATCTTTTTTATCAACTCCAACCTTTTTGTAAAAAAAACAAAAGCCAATTCAGATTAACAACTTCTTGAATATTTAATAGGAATGGTCTTCTATTATCATTAAATTTAATAGCTTTGGAGAATAACATTAAACTAACAATGGTCTATCAAATTAACACTTATACATTCTTTTAAACTTATGCCCTTAGAACATTTTTTATCTTTACCTTCAAACTAACTTTCTATTTTTTTTTTACTATATTATTGTTTAGTTGTTACATTATTATATGAACAGATATTTATGAAAGAGTTATCGTTTTCTTATCCTTCTTATTGTTTTTGTTATTATACCTTTATTCACTTGTTCTAATTTGTATCAAAGAGTTTTGTTTATTCAATTCTTTATTAAAAGTACATAAAGTTAATACAATTGATATGTTGTTTTTCACAGTTTCATTAAATCTAAATACTACACACTATCAATGCTTTATTATTTAGTATATGTGTTGTATTTACTTATTGGATAATCTAAATAGTGAACAAACAAATGAATGGAATGACGAGATGATAAAGAGTACTTAAATAAATCAAATCATGATTTTATTGAGAATAACACTGTTTTATTAAAAATTCATGTTTTCTATTTTTTAATGTTAAGATTTTAATTAATAATAATAAAAATAAATAACAAATTAGTATATTATTATTAATCTATTTATATATAAAATAACAAAATTCAACAAAAGATTCAAAATGACAAAAAAGAAAGAAACAATGTAAATTATCACAAAAATAATCTCATATTCGTATTTTTCATCATTATTTAGATTAATGTTTTATATTATAATGTTAATTATTTGTATTAATGCTGATGAATATGACTGTATTCAAAAAGGATATAATTTTGAAGATGGATTTGAAAATGGAAAAGATAAACAATGTGAATCACTCTCAAACGATTATTCATATTATTTTAACAAGGCTTTCAAATACTCTGGTTTAGCTTTTAAATGTAACAGAACATATCTTGATGGTAAGTTCACAATGACAAGTTCATATGATTACTGGAATGCAAAAGTTATTGAAGTTATGGATAATTCTCAAATTAATTTAAATGGAAGATTTCATACATATAATGAATTTATCTTTAGAAAAAATCTATAGTATTG